ACCCCCCCCCCCCCAAAAAAAACAAAAAAAAACAAAAAACCCAAAACCAAATAACTTGCCAACCATCCTAATAATCCTCTTTAGTGGCAGAGAGATGACCAGTCAGTATGTGAAAATACTTGAAACATACATTTCTACTTCATTACAAATGTTCTTAAAACAATACAGATGTCATTGTCATTTTTACCTTGGGAAACATTAAATCCATCTATATCAGCTCATTAAAGTCTTTTTTTCCATTAATAAGGGAAGGTAAATGTAGTCCAGTATGGTGTGGTGGGTTAGTATGCCTGTTAAGCTGCTGTTGTTAAAAAGTTTGAAGTCCATAAGGCTACCAGCTGGATCAACAGTTTAAAAGTCAATTAATTTTTCTCTCTGGACTTGTCTGAGAAATCTTATCTTTTTCTTTTGTCTTTTTTTTTTTTGGATGCTTTTGAAAATGTTGGATTTGCTTACCCCTGTTTCCTTATATTGAAGTTACATGCCTAAAATAGAAATTGCTTGAAGCTTAGGCAAATTAAAGATGTAATAAACTGATTATAGACTCATGGTTTCATTGCCCAAAACAATTCAAATCCAAGTACTAGCTGCCATGAACCTGAATGACTCTATCTGAATCATGTCCCACTGAATGCATTTCAGCAGAGATATGGCTGCTGGTTATTTCTTCTTGGCCTATGTGATTGCCCAAGATCTTGTAATCTAATATGGGGCTGTAATTTTGTGGGAACTGTCCTAGGGGGAAAAAATTTCATCAGGAAGTGTCATGGGTGGAACTTCACCAGGAATGGATTATGGCCAAAGAGGGCACTCTCATGGGGAAAGTGTTTTATTTTGTATGAGGCTTAAAACAGAGTTATAACCACTTAAATGGCCAAAGATTCCCATGGATGTGAATAGGAGCATTAAACCTAGTATCCTGGTGGAATTCCAACTTGGGTAATTCAGGTGCATCATATCATACCATATAATTCCCCAGTAGGGTCAAGTTTTTTGCTTAAAATATAAACCTGCTAAAATGTCTTAATGTTGCCAGTTCAGCAAGCATGTTTGGTTATATGCCAGCAGTAGCTCCATTTCTGTAGCGCTACCTGTATGTATGGTTCGCAATGGGCTTTGGGAGTCCTTTGCATTGAAACGTACTTTATAAATGTAAGACTGATCCTTATTACATTTCTTATCTCCTGTCTTTAATACTTTGTTTTGTACAGCAGGATATGAGCCTTCTCCTATGTCCGGGCTTTGGCCTCACACAGTAGGTGTAATATAATCGCTGAGGTGGGCGTTCTGCAAGGAGAATTATTTTTGGAGGCTTTTGCATGAAACTTGCCCAATGAGTCTGAGACACCCAAGCACCATTAATTTTGGAGGTAAATGCCTCATAATATGTACTGAATAGAATGGAAAGAGTTGAGACTTGCATTTGGTGACATATGAGCAAAAAAAAACCTGAAGGGATGGATCTGAATGTTGCTTCAGGAATTTGGCATTTTTAAGCTTAAAGGAACACCAACTTAAAGTCTTGACAAGTGAAAAAATAGTTTAAATAGTTTCAGACAGCACATGTGTGAATTGCATCAGGTTTCCTTCATTTTACACTTTGTTTGCCTCTTATGCAAATATATATCCCCTTTTCTGTCAGTTTATAAAGACTTATCCAGACAAAAGGGGAAGATGATTGACAACTCAGGGAATATAGTTCCACTGATTATGTTCAAAATACTGTCATGTGAACAAATAAACTAAGAAAAAAGGATTTATTTCACTTGCATGATAAATGTGGCAAAAATATATATAGAGATGAAAATGTGGTAAAGTTGGGTGTCCCTTTAAGTGAAAATATTCCTTAAAGTGTTTGACCAGGTATTGGTTGTTTTTTAAATCATAATTTAATTGTTTATAGCACTTTGGAAGATTGTAACTAAAATGTTTATAAGAAATATTTTTATCGTGTGTACATGAATCAAGTCTGTTGAAAAGTGGGCTGACTGCTGGGTAATATATAATGGGAGGAAAGTAGGGGGAAAAGGAGGAACCTTGTGGTTAAAAAGGGGAAAGGAAAGATCCTCAGGAGTTATTCTCCAAAAGGATGAGGAAAAAATATTTTTCTAAGTTTGCTAATCTATACAGCACCCTTATATTTGCCTTTCACTTAAATACCAGTTTCATGTAATACTTGATGTAATGTTGGGGTTTTTTTATAATATTATTGCTGGAAAATACAATTATTGGTGAAATTACAAACTTAATATGCACTATAAAGTTACAGTGAATAAATGAAGTTTGAGTTAGTAAACAACAAAAAATGTAGTGCTGGCTTACTGCCAACAAAGAAATAAAATCCCTTAAAAATTTGCAGTTGTTGGATTGCACTGATTATGCTGATCCTATAGCCTGATTGCATCCTGGTTGTGCTTAGAGCTATTTCTTAAGATATATTTTTACACTTGGGACAAACAGCTACCTAGTAGAGAGAGAACTAAAAGGAGAGAGTGTATATAGGTAGGCAAAATAGCACAGTTGCTTAATAGAAATATGTGCATAATAGGGTAACATCTTAGTGTGCAAAATTCAGAATATAGGAAACAATGGTTTCTCTCTGTTATTTTTTAATTACGTTACTGTGGATGTTTATAATGAGCCAGCTTTCAGATTGTGTATTGAACAAGGAAAAGACTTTTTATCATCAAGATAATGTCCCACAAATGAAACAGAATTTAGTTGGAGGTATCAGCTACTGGCTTTATATTATGCTTGGCTTGTTATGCTAGACCACCTTTGTGGCACCAGCATTTTTTATTAATTGTGGACTAAGGCTTAACGGGTATTGTAACTATGTTAGGGGAGTGTATTATGTGAAATGTGTATGTAATGTTTGAGTGGCAGGCTTTTTTAAACTCAGTGTACAAGATTGGGAGGACTTGTGTCAAGACACCTTAAAATAAATAAGTGGCATATAACTGTAGCATGTGTTGTACATTTTAGTTTGACCTCACAGTGCTTTTAAAAAATATAGTAAAGACATCAGATGACTTCCTCTGAAGAGTTTGCAACTGATCTAGCTGGATCAAATATCCACATTAAGCAGGTGAGGTTGCATAGGCAGATGAATGATGGAAGAATAGTTGAAAAGTGGGTTGTAAGTAGAGGGATGATGCTTGTTGTATAGGAAAAGGGAGGCTGAGCAGGGGCTGTTTGAAATATTGGGCTGTTGTCTGTCTTTCTCTGTAGGAGCTGTTGTGGAACAAAATGGAGCATTGCATGCTGGTTTCCATGAGCTGCACCTCCACGGATAAGGTGAAGGTTAGCAGCAGCTGTATTTTAAAATTCCCTGAGTTGCATTTAGTTTCAAGTCTGCCTTTGGTATTCACATCTTAAGATAGTAATTTATCTGTCCTTTATGCTATTCTAAATGTGACTAGACATCTACTAGAAGGTCTTTGTTGAACACTATGGAAAAAAAACTTGGGCCACAGCTGCTTTT